ATCTGCTTATTACTAAATTCTCGGTCGACAACATTGCGAGCTATCCGTGCAAAATGAACTGGACAACCATCATGTTGATACCAGAGGTTTTGCCGATCGCACAAGGTTAGATCTTCAAGCAACACAGTTAATATTTCTTTCAGAAAAGCAGAAATAAAATATAAATTTTAAAATACCAAATGTCTAAAACTACCAATCCGATCCGAGATATTTAGATTTGTATCATCGATACTGACCTTGAATGACCTTGAACGACTTTGACCCCTTAATCTTTTTTATGCAGCTTGAGGTGCTCCACAAGATGGTTGAAGAAAAAATGTACCATTCTATTTAAAAAAGTGAAGGTGACCTTCACTGTGCGTCAACGCCTCCACCGAAATAAAAAAAATTGGTCGCATTTGGTGGCCCCCTCCACACCGTACAACTTTTGTTTGAAACATTTTGTTGTTACATCGATAATTACCATCGAGTTATTTCGGGTGGCAGAGATAAAAGAAACACCCTGTATAAATCAGAGACGTAATATGTAGGAGTGTTACAATTTATGATCTATACAAATAAATATGTCTACTTAAGTGTATTGGTATACATATATATATTTTTCTTTTCGTGATGCGTAACACTGCGAAAATTTCGTCTCACTATTTATACCTAGTAGGGAAAGTTCCGTTTTATTAAGTGGTTATTACTTCGTACGGTGCCTAATAAACGTCCAGCAAAGATTACGGTACGTTAGCAATAGACATAAAAATCAAATATTTTTCGCACTCGTCGTACAGGACTTGTTAGATCTTTCAAGTGCAACCATTGTAACGTGCTGCGAAGCCAATGGAGACTCGAATGACGCCGGGCGTCGTAACGCGTCTATTCTGGTAAGGAATGAGGACAGGTAACATAACGTAATATAACAATGATTATTAACGTTCGCAGATATCTGATACTCATATGCGAAACACAGGCATATACGTATTACATATAGGCACTCGCGTAAAATGTCGAACAACGCTAACGCGTAGCGTCAGTAGATGATATAAGCAGTGGAAGTTACATATGGTTTTTATTACCATTGTTATTTCACTTCCTTAGATACCTATAGTACATTCACTATAATATATTAAAACGAATGATTTTCAACAATGCTCCAATGTATTTTATATGTGATTAATATTTAATCTAAAACGAAGGAAATCGAAGGTTTCGAACTGTTGTTGACCTTACTACGTAATCCGATAGGTATCCAATAATCATGTTTATTCGATAGAATCATAGTATTTGGCATATATTAGTATATTCAAATTTCAATAATCAATATATCCAAATTTCATTTTGCTAACTTCACAGTATCAGTTCACCTTACCGCGTATAGTCTGATATCGATAACGGTTGACATAAATTAGAAGAAATCCTACATGGCTAAGTCGCATGGAGGCTCTGTAAAAAAAAGGTTGAAACACTCTTTGAGATATAATTACTGTCTTTTGTCAAGCACGGATATATGTCAGAGTTCAGCTTTCTTTTTCCTTTCTCTGGAGAAAATCTCGTCTTGTCTAATAAAGCGTTCGCGGGAGTTACGTGGGTATTTAAAAAATAATAATTTCTGTCGTGTGTATGTAACTTGGCTTCTATCATTAATAACTTTCTTGGTATGTAAACGCATTCGCAAATTTTCAAATTGTACTTATATTGTCTTTATTTTTTTATATATTATTTTGACTCAAGTAAAATAAATACTCGTTGCATGACTGTCCAGGTATATTGATTATTCTTATCGGTGTAATGTTCGCGTGCATCACTAGTTTTATTTTTCACGAAAACATAAAAGAAGACTTTGTATTTATATCGAATTGGGTATTAGTTAACATTACGTAACTTTGAAAGAAATACTGTTGCTATACTCCGAGTGTAGATAGTCGATATAATTTCAACGTATAGCTACTATGACTGTATAGCTACTGTAAATATATAAATATAGTACTCCATGAGTAATCTAATGAGCCCACAATAAATCTACGTTGTAAATACATCTCGTAATCGGACGTGTCAAATCTGCGTAAAAATCTTGTCCTAATCGTAAATGCAATAGCGTCACGTACCAGTCATAATTTTGACGTGGTAGAACCAACTCTAGCCATATAAGTGTATATATTTTATATAATATAAGGCAAAGTTATAATCTGATGGAAGGAGATTACCGTTTGTTGACGTAAGAAGGACCCGCGTTTAATGAAATTAATTCAACGTGAATCAACAGTTTGTCACGTGTTTTAAGTTATTTTGAAAAATATGTAAAAAGTGACTATTTAATATATCACGATAAACCGCATATAAGTAGGTAGGTAACGCTTTATCATAGCAATGGTACGAAACGATTATTGTACATTGCGAATTCGTGTCACACGCGAGTTATGCTACGTTTTTATTTTTTCTTAAAATTTTTACACATGAAAACTTTGAAAAATCTGCATTCTCCTCCCGGCCTGATGGTTCGTTGCATGAAAGTCGTGCGACGACTTTGCAATATTCTTACAACGAATTGTCATCTTGCCAATTGTTCGTGCCAACCTAGATTAATTTTTTTTTTCAATTTGCTTCGACATAATATTACGATCAAAAACCGTTTGTTTCTTTCATTTAATGATTTTTCAAGACGAAAATGCCATTGTCGACTCTTATACATTTTTTACAATTAATATATATATTTTTTATTTTAATTACCCATCTCTTCAGAGATGTTCGTCATCGAGCTTTATCGAGAATTTCCATTAGGACAGTTAAGGTGAGAGTTTTTCTTAGACGTGCATGCCGGAAGTTACGTCATCGATGAAAGCTAGACGGTACTGGAGTCATATCGCTGTTACCGTATGGCAAAGTGTATAATGCGAGCTTACGCACTGTATGGGTGAGTACGTAATCCGTGAAGAAAAATATTAAGAGTGTCTAGAAAATATTCTTCTCCACAATTAGTTTTAGCATTGCAACAGTGTAACGTCTACACGCTTCAACGTACACACAATGGCCCATAGGATCTTTCGTGATAAGAATAAGTTATAGAATTTTTGCGAAAGTCCATTTTACTCGAAAACAATAAAAATCTGATATATGGTCCTTGTAAGAAAAAAGATGAGGCGTATGCATGCATTTTGTTTGAAAGAAAAAAAAGGAAATAATAAAACATATACCATGTATGTGAAGTAAACGTCAACTCGGAGAACCATGCATTCTTCTACCGCGTGCCTTGAATGGAGAGTTACTTTTCGTTGGAGTTGAGCCGTTATACACTGTTGTGGAAGTCAATGGTCTGTAAAATGTGTGTTACTGACTTGAAATGCCGCGTGTAACGACCGCATACGGTAAACCTAGATTCATCGCAAATGAAAGATACACAGATGGTACGCGCCCTGGTCAGTTTCCCTTCACCGGGAACATTGATGGCGGCTTTATATGTATACAATTTAAATGTCTTTCGAACTTGTATATCCATTGGCTCATTACCATTTGTCGGTCATTTTCGCGGAATGAATTTGCGAATTTTTAGAATAATTAAACGATAGAACGGTATAATGAGAAGGTGAGGAATTTTTTTTATATGTTTATACACAGAGATTGTCCGTTGCATAAATTTTATTGATGAAAAAAAAACATGTTAATTATACACGATTAAAATTTACATATACTTTTTTACTCCTTCGCCATATTTTCACGATTTTTCTTTTACGTTGGATGACATACGTTATGTTAAATCATCTTACGATATTTTATTAATCTAAAAGTGACAATTGTTATTTATTGGTAAATCATTAAAAGTCTAAAATAATCAAATACCTACTGTTTAATTTATCTCTTTTTTATTCTTTAATAACGACCTTAAGTGATGCTGATTGGACTATGAACTTGTCTCGATTCTGTTTTTTTGTTCTTTCGAGTATCTTGATAATAGTCTCACCTTCGGCCACGTTCGTGACCGTTCCAATTAATGGCTCATAACTAATAATAGCCGAGGCATGGAATATTCCATAAATGAAAGAAACCTTTGCAATATCCGGTAAGACCAGAGGCAATAAAACAAGAAGATCTCCAAGTAGAATAAATGACCGCGAAAATTACATTTTCCCCAAGTTTTTCTTTTTCAGATGATTAACTTCAGAAACTGGTGCATACTCTACTTACACCTTGTGACGGCAATCTCCACTTATGCATGACCAATGTTTTCAAGGAATACGGATATTATCGAACGATTGTCATGTGGGATTATGATGGAAATGCAGAATCTACCAGTTTTACGTTATCCTACATACTAATTATTATTATAACACATTAGTCCGACTTATTGCGTTTGCCCCTATAATAACCTCGACTGACATCAGCATTTTTTTCAAACACGCAAAGTGAAATTAATTTAGTAAAAATATTACCAATTCACGGTATCAAAAAACAATATTTGTAAATCATAAATATATTCGCAAGTAAATTGTCATGATTTTTGAAGAGTATGTATATATAATACAATAGGACAGTCTCACATGTTTCATACAGTAGCGCTTAAAAAAATATTTGCAATAGCAATTGAACAGGTACCCACAATTTTATCACGTATGTTCATTTAAATTTAGCAGTTACGTGACGTAACCCCTAAAGTCTAAACAGTAATTCGTTAATTTTGCACAGACGGTAATTGGTCGACATTGTCATCAGCAGGCGAAATAAAAGTACCCTCCGTACAATTCTGTTTAAGTCATCGGATCACGAAGGTGACCCCAAAAAGACGAACGCGGCCGAAGGTGAGGATACAAGAAAAAATAAGCGGTTTTAACATGAGAGCAATAAGACGTAAACGCAGAAGAGAAAGAGAAGGAAGAACAGAGCTAAAAAATATATAGTAATGTATAAGAGAAATAATAAAAACTGGTAGTGGAATATCAAATTAGAAATAAAGAAGGAGAAGAGCGAATGGAAGAAGTAAACCCAGTAAGTGGGGGTAATAATAAATCGTTCACCTGAGCATGGGTCTACCGTCTCACGAGCATAACCAACTGACTAGTGCTGCGGCCGCGTTCGTACCGATCGTTTGCTTGTAGTCTCACTCCCCGTGTCTGTGTATTTTCGTATCCTCTCTATTTTCGATCCCTCGTAAATACATAAAGAATACGAGTCCCGTTCTTAACAATAAGAAAAGAAAAAGTTATCGAACCAAGAGAAAGGACAAAGATCAGTCGTACACCCCATATTTTTAAAGGAGTGAACATTTTGAAAATCAAAAAAGTTTCGAATTAATTATAGTACATTGCGTCATAGTACAATTTATACTCGTGATAAAAAAATCGTCAATCCTATCGTTTTCAATCCGAGAATCCATATACCAAGAATTTGGAACGATTCTATCCCGGTGCACTGCTTAGAAATTCTTCTTGACCTCAACTCGTGAAGCCTCTGACGATTCTTCTTTTTTTTCCGAAAATTTTTTTTCTTCCGCTGAGAGTTCACGCGTCGACTCCTTAAACGATCCTTCATTCGGTTCATACGTTCCCTCGTCATCGTCGTAGCGACATACTTGGACTCGACTTTCTCCTCCAGTGCCGGTCGGAGTGGACGTCCTCCGCGCGAAACGATTCCTCCACGGAATAACAAGTTGGTAAACGGCACTGCATGGGACACTGGATCCAAGAAATTAACGAAAAGGAATCACAGGAAGTGCTGTTTGTAAAGTGAGCGGAAGTGCAAAAGGATGAGGGTTCAACGTGGAATCTGCGCGAAACTGCAGGGTGGATTTTTGCGGCGCTGGTGTAAGTTTTTGAAATTTTTTGTTACATAAAACATAGTTCCACCTTTCTCTCTTATGCTTTCTTTACAATATTCATTTTGGACACGTGGAAGAGACTCCACGAGGTTTCACCAACCGAAACGACCTCCGTTACGGTTCTTTATTACGCTCGGTATCTTGCTTTTTTAAATTTGTGTGTCTATTGGTATTTACAGATATACATGCTATCGATTCACTACATAGAATTAATTACAGTCAAGTCCTTGTACGTACCCAGTATGTCTTACTTGATCAGGGACGTTTACTGTTTTGAGCAAGTAACGTGATTACTCGTCAAGGTCTCCTTTATGGAATTTTCATGGTAGCCGTGAACAGTACAGAGATGGAAGTCGTCTTTTCTGGCAACATCACTATAACGGTTCCGGCGTGGTGTCTTTAAGTTGGTAACCGTGACCGCAATAAATTGCACATGGGTATATGTTGAAAATTAATTAAATTATTGCAGTTTTTTCATTCCTATGTCTATCTTATTGAATTTACATTTTCAAAACGTACGATGTGTGTCAAGCTGTAGGCTGATTATAGTTGCTTATCTGTAGTCCACTTTGTTGGAACATGACTAGAAATTCTGTGTCACGATTTGGACGATTGTGGAGTCTAAGAAATTGGGAGATTCCGTAGACTCGTATATATAGGATAGATAGCAGTTCGACTGGTAGCCGTGATGAATCGCTGAAGATGCATCAATTCCTCCGTAATCGACAGTTCCACGCTAACGATCACTTAGCCTGTATTCGATGCGCGCTCACATTATATTATTTACTTGATTGGTCTCGACCTTTATTTTTTTCTACGACTTATATCGAGGCTGAATATTTTGTTAATATATTTTTTTTTAATTGTTGGTAAAACAGCGAATTCCACTTTTGAAATTTCGAAATTATCCCGCGGCCATTGGCAGAACTAATTCAGTGTTCGATTGCAAACTAGTATTGACCATTAGATCGGGTTTCGAAAATTTTTGGAAAATTAATTGAGGTTAAGTTTACTTACGAGTTAGTAACATAGTCAAATATTTTCGAAAGTGCGTACACGTGCTTCCAAAGGTTGTTCGATCAATTTTTTGAACTTTTCACCACGCCGGTCATGGTTGGTTGATCGTGAAAGTTATCGAGTTAAAAATTTCATAAACTTTTATCTCTGCCTGAATAATTCAATGTTCCTAGTAACGTTACTTCCACTCGCTCATTATTAAAGTCCCGTCGAGATTCACGCGAGAGTTCTCACAAAAGAGTTTCAAAGTCTGACTGTGAGTCAATACGCGGTTGAATTATTTTCACGTTAATCGCAACGTTTCTTCGCAGCCACTAATATAGCTAACAGTGCCGAGTCAATATTACCGTGATTTCGTAACGTCAAGGCACTACCTGTTACTTCTGATTTCACAGAGTAGCACGTGCAGTGAACTGTACAGTAGCTGATGCTTTTACATGCACCAAATTCATTTTACCTATTGATTTTCTACGAGCGATTAAGAAAAAGAACTATCGCTTGATCAATAACTGATAATGTCAATGAAATATATTTTTGTCAATTATTCTTTAAAATTCAGGAATGTTATTTATCTTTATAATCCAATCCACGATCTCTCATCGGAGAAAGAAATTCGCAATGTCCGTAGCATGCATTGCGGAGTCACAGCACGCGGCAAGGCAGGTTTAACTCTGGCAGGCCATTCGAGTTTTGTATGGTTAGGTTAGGTACTGCATTCCAAGGAATGCGTGCTCGTGAATCGGTTGTCCAGCGTCCAATGAGAATCACTGGCTATCATCGTTTCCAAGTTTCTGGCCGGTGCTCCGTGATCGGTTAAGAGCCCCTCGTCATGCTCCGAAAGTTCAGGGAACTGTGGGAAAATGATCTTGCGAATATACAATAGGTACGTCGTCGTAGTACAACGGTATAAACTGCACGAATGTGAACTGATCGCTCTTAGGGAAAGTTTATTGGCAGAATTGAACTTAGCCTCCTTCTAGTTTGGTCTTTGGTTACTATTTAGAAAGAAACTTTTCTTATGGGTTTACCTAAAATGGACATGGATGACTTATTTTTCATGAATGAACGTCATTAGGTTTGTCCCATGGATTAAAATCATCATGAGTAAAATCATCGAAGTAAGTCGAGTGTGTCGCGTTAGTTAAATGAAAGTATATGATAAATGAACGTTTCAACAAATTCTGAATTTTTGTCAAATGCAATTCACTGCATTTTCAAATTTCTTATTTTGGTGTTTTTTTTTTCATTATTATTATAATTTAAAAGAACGAGGCTGCTGACGATCATAGCTTAGAACTGCCTAAGCGGCAATTTACTGTTATTCTCAAAATTGAACAAGGTCCTGCGATATACAGGGTGTCGCATTTTCAATCATTACACATGCTCTTATTACATATCAGTACAATCCTATTGGAAAATTTCCTTCGAGGATAAATATCGGTGGCATATGGTTTTACACTTGTTCGGAATACTAACGGAAAATACTTGAACACAGCCCCAGGTCGTGAAAAGGTTTCGTTTCACTTGTAGATCGTCGCGCGATTTCCATCTGTAAATGGGAGCTACAACATTGCACTCCAATTAAACCAATTGGTTCATTGACGTTTTCTACAGTGAATTATATTGACTAGAAAATTATTGGCTATCAATAATTCATGTTAAAAATGTTAATTATTTTAGCGTTGATGATTATACAAACAATGCTTTACGATGATTACACGCACTGTTTATTTTGTTCCTTATTTTATTTATTCGTTTCAAAATTCCTTCTATTTCTTCTATCTCAGTAAGTACAGTTGATTTGGATGAACCCCGGATCATTTGAGTCAACGATCGCTCGAGCTAGCATCGTATTCACGTAAAGTTTTGTTATCCGAGCTACAGCGGGTGGGAAGCGGACGTGCATTGACAATTGTGACGTGTAATCAATGACAGGCGCGCATTTTTTTTTAAATATCTGAAGCTGCTACTTTTTTATATTTTATTATTATGTATTTTACTATTTCTATATTCTTTTATTATTACTCACATTAGCTCAGATAATCGCGATTCTACTGCAAGTTGATCGCGAGAGCTAAATATATTGACATTGAATACTGGTGTCGAAAGATTCGCGTCGAGTTGCTGTATTATAATTAGCGGCGCTCTCTATGGAAATATTTCATTATTATGCAGTATTAAACCTGGGATACTCCAGAATACGCGTGAAAAATCGTGGAAAAATAACGACAAATAGAGTCAGGATTAATCACTCGTCGAGTTCATTAATTCAGTATGGAAAGGCAATCTCTTTATAACGAGTGGATATAAGAGTGAAGGTCGCGATGGGATTTTTCTGTAGTCTAAATAAAAAAAAAATCTATTCCCTATGCAACAATCGATTATTTTTATTTTGCTCAGCACGTGATTGAAGAAGCTACGATTTTCTTGTAATAATGTGGACAAAATGTTTACATTGAGATTTCAATATTTTATTACTATTTCTGGTCTGTCGATGCAATAACGTTTAATCGCGCTGTTAACTTTTCTTACCTTTTAATGGAAATCACTATACTCTGTCCAAGACTATACGTCGTATACATAACGTGTACTAACCACTGTCGAGTAAAGTCGTACTAAAATCAAGAGCCAGTTTTAAATGCTGCAATAAACTGCTTTTCATTGTCCCACTGACCAACTAACAGTACACTTTTCGGTATACCGCAGGTCTGCTAGAAAGTGTTACCCTGTGAAATTCCCAGAACAAGAGACTAAAATTTTAGGACTCCCTGTATACCACATGCACACTTCGTAGCACTATTCCGGTTATTTTTAGAAAGGCATATGAAAAATGAAATTCTTGATTGAAACTATTCACGCGGTTTTTATACATACTGTGCAAAGCTAATGAGTTATTTTTTGAAAGTATACGAACAATTCCTAAGATCAATTGTCATTCGCGTCTTTGAATTTCCCGCGGATTCAGTGACCGTCCTGCACTTTAGAAAGCTAACCGCGAGCAGCGTCTGGCTTCAGGTTTTGCTGTGCCTAACGAGGTCTTAAGATGTTGTTGCAGATGACTGCACGAGAACTTCATCGTCGCTCGGGCTCTCATGAAAGTTCGCCAGCATTGTCAATCTTGATAATATCGCACGTACGAATACGCACGTAATAACAGATCTCGCTCTGGGAATGGGACTAGCTATAGTCTCGAATTCAAGACACGAGGAGCGTATAATCCTACATCTTTATACGCAATGTTCAAGCAAACTCATTGAGTGTACATTATGAACCAGGAATTTGCAACACTTCCCTTCGCTTATATTTATGCACGGGAGCATTTTATAGGAATACTTCTTTTTTATATTTCTTTTTTTTTTTCTTTCTTGGCGGAAGAAATGTCTTATGCAAGACGCTGTGTGACGTGTACATACGGTTCAAATAACTCGATATCACAGTGATACAATACTTGTGTGGCCGGGTGCCAGTGAAGCGTGAAGAACGATCAACATGTTTCAATACCCACATACCTGCGTGTATATATGAAGACTGTAGAGACTATATTTTGCAATAACTATGAGCAAGGAATTTCCGATCGAACCATATCGGTCACAGGGAACGTATTTGATTTAATGGTTCACGAAATGACGTAGTGATTACGCGAAGAGAATAAATTGCCTTGTTATTTTTCGGATATTTACTACTGTTTATGATAAATAATTCTTTTTTGATTGCTTATTACAATAACCAACAAATTTCTGAAGACGTTATACATGACTATGTAGTAAGTTGCTGTCTATTTTTAGTAATATTAACCCGTGAGGTGTCGTACTCTTTAATATCATTTATCTGACTGTTCGTGATTATTGACAGGATGATTATGATTATTCAGCAAAAATGATCCGCATCGATGATTAACTCCATGTAAATGGAAACGTACGTGACGTTCATTGAGTTTTTGTTTGTTCTAAGGAAAAGTTTAGACACGGGGAAAGATGAAACTAGGAATGCATGCGACAAAAATTTTTTAGAAACGCATTGCATAATTAGTATTCTTAAGCACAGAGAGGTATTTTGACACTTGTAAAATTAAGCTGACCTAAGTTCTCGTAAGTTAATTAGTAAAATTAATTGAGGGTAATCTCATTGGAATGGATTAGGAGTTATACAAAAAATGTCTTCTTTTACATAACTTTTATTTTAGACATGTCAATCGACTTAACGTGTAATTACATAAATTCCAGTAATCTATATTGTACTTTTAACCGTATCGAATTTTTTAGTATCGATAAAAAATTTTGACAATAGATCCAAAACTCGTGTCTTTCATAGTAGCCGTGTTACGAACCAGCAAGTTTGCAACCAACCTTGCAAGCAACCACCTTATAAATCAGTGAAATAATGATTCAAAAATCCATGGCATAACTGTCGCGATTAAACAATTGTTTCCGCTGACACAACATTTACTCCTGGTTTAATATGTATACCGCGACTACGTGTAACATTCATACGTGAGCGATTTTTGCGTAATGATTGCTCAAATTCACGTGAAGGAATATCCTAATTCGGATCGAAATTTAATGTGCACAGTTGTAAAAAAATATTTACATATATGCCAGATTTGATTACGAAATAAAAAAATTCATAAAATACAACAAATTCGTTAGCTATTAAAATGTCACACATGGATCTTGGATCGATGATTTCTACTTCTTTATTCATGAACTCTCATCACTATTTTGCACGGGTCTGTTGCAATTCTGACATTTTTTTTTAATTTGCTGAGGTTTGTCATTAACCTCACGCATAATATTACGTGTTTTCTCATGGGCTAGACAACACAGGGAACGTCACTCAAATTTTGAAGTCGTCAAACTGCGAGAAGTGGAATTCAAAGCGCGGCCACGTGACGTTAGCGGCACCGCTGTGCTTCGCATAATTATTGTACGGTTATGCCAATAGGCACTTCTATATTTGTTGAGATCGTTAAAGGTGAACTACACTATTAAAAAGTGTCGACAATGACACTTGAAAATTACATTTGAATTGATTTTCCTTTTTACCCTTGTGCGTCACAATTTTTTGGTCGTCTATTTTTTTTTAAGTTTCGTCAATGATTTGCCATGCATGATTCGGCTGATGATATGAACTAAAGAAGAGCTCGGAATTGCGTTGACGTAATTTACGTGACTCGAATTGGAATGCGCTTATATCAGTAAAACAGCATGATAATACTAATGGACGGTATTAAAAGTTAAGATTCATTAACGAATGGCTATAAAGAAAATCGATTACCAATCAATAATTCATTATGGGATTTTGTGCAATTTGTTTAACTTTACGTGGATCCGTACCAATAAATATTCATAAATAATTTTCAAACAAATATCACGCCCTGAGTTTGATTATAACTTGTGGATATTTACACTTGTACATATTTACGGTATAGCTTTGTACCATATACGATTAAATCTGCTGATAACGAGTCTAGAGCGTTGCGAATAATGCACGTACTTTCTCAATAGTGAAAATTTGTTTAAACTCTTATCCATTGAAATTCTTGAAATTCCATTGTTGATTTTGAATTTCACTCTGTATCTCTTACTACACAATAGGTTATTTCAAGTCTGATCAATAACCCGTGTTTCTTTAATCGGCCACGTGTTGTCACTTTTGACAGTTGTCACGGATTCTTTCCTCACCCATGTAGTTATGACGAGATCGTGAATTTTCACTTTCCCCACTTTCACGATTACCGGACTCATTTGAATATCACTGCAAAAGTGTAGCTGGACCTTATCAGTGGTTCTCAATCACGATGCTATAGCAATTTTGTATAATCAGACAACGAATCATTGTCTAAATATTTTTTTATTTATATAACCCATACCGTATACTGAAAAAAGAAAATTTTTCATTTTATTAATTATAGATTCAATGACGTAGGTCATGGCTGCTTGCATAAAAAAAAAAGAACTTTTGTATTAGTCATAAACTCATAATGCCTGGTAGAGCCAATAAAGATAGAGTTTAAATTGCAGTTGTCCCTTCCATGGTATCATATCGTCCTCGCAGTTGCCAAGTTATGGACGGTTGGCAACACTGGCCACAATTTCTTTGAATTTCTCTCGATTACAGTAGAAGCGGTTGGACACGCGAATGCGTTATGTAAAGAGAGTTCCAAGTAATCGTAATCGATCGATCGTGATCAGGGCTTTCATTTGACAAAGTTAAACGTTCCGATCCACATTGATCGTCCCAAGAACAGTATCGATAATTTGTCCAATTAATTTTCAAAATGGGTTGCACGTGTCGTGGTAAATATCTCGTTTGTACCTCGAGTCAATGTGAAACTGTTGTTTCCCTGTGTGTATATATGTATATATATAGTATTCAGTGTACATAAATTTTCTCATGATCGATTTATTGAATTTTTTCTATTTTCTAACGTAAAACGTATTTCACCGAAAGTGCTGCTTGAGTGCTGCTTGTTGTTATTCGTTACGAGTTTGTAATTCTGATTTGAGGATAAGATAAAAAAGTGCGTCATAGTTTTCCTATTAGTTATTCTCGATCCTTAATACCGTGACCGGGCATAAATATATTTTTCTATCGTCTGGAAAATTTCATTTTTGTCTTATCGACAAATGCATGGAAATTGCGACGAAATTAAAAAAAAAAAACAGAACAACGTTTGTTGTTCGTTATCGAAAGATAAAAATTATTTTTGGATCTTACGCGAATTTGCCTCATAGCAAAGTCAATTATTTTGATTCATTATTGTTATTTTCGGTAAGAATAGTATTTTTCTGTATAACGTGCTCCGGATGACAAGTCTGTTTGGAACTACATAATTTTTTGAAAAATATGTATGCGTCCTGTTATGTGAAAGTTGTATTCTTACCTGTACGGAGGTCGAGCTGGCATTGTTATAATTGAAATCGTTAATTATTGCACTAATAACTTGATAACATTTTTTAGGATTATTTATTTAATACAAATTCTCACGCTTTTACTTCCACGCTGTTAGATTTAGTTGTCTCACGAATTGCTAGATTTTCGTTCCACTTCATTCGTCACTATCTCATTCTGTCTAACGTATAAGCGGCACTCGTTGACTTTACGCAGTCTTTCAGCGTATCAAAAACGTTTCCACTGTTTATAAGAAAATATTCCATTACACCCTGATTTCGCGTCGACAACACCATATAATACAGTAATCCAAAGATATTTCGCAATCCAGGAAGAAAAAGACTTTCATCAGGCAATTTACTGGTTATCTTAAATTTATTCGAGATTCAGGATCTGTATATCATGGAAATCAATGATGTCATCCTTTGCGTTGTAGCAATAAAGGGTATTAAAATATAAGGATACCCGGTAACATTTAAAATTCATGGATTTAATATATATACATATACGAATCTATATCCCATATAAGGAATATACATATGTATATACGTATATTATACTCAATTATTAAATACCTCCTCGCTACTGAATTTCACAAGAATATTCATGAAAATAATTATATGTATAGCCGAGTCCTTTAACAGCTTCAAGGACGTACCATCCTGCCGATCGACTCGTACTTATTCGTCGATAAGGAGCCGCAATCTCTTCTAATAATGCAGCGCCGGCGCATCGTGCTGCAAAATGCGCATGAGATAGTCACAATCGAAACGGCACTTCCGCCCGGAAAAAATATTACGAAGCCTTAGGTACCGAACGTCTTATAGACACGGCATTGAAACAGAAGAAAGAAAGAAAGAAAGAATGGAAGGAAGGAAGGAAGTAAGTAAGGAAAAGCGGACGGCGACTCAACTGTTCCGTATATAACAAGGCAGTTTTGTAGAAAGCTAGGAATGTTGCAAGCAAGACTTGTCGGAGCGCATAGGTTTAGCTACCTCTCATTATTTTCCGTATGCGTGACGCTAAATATGCACCTTGAGATTACATTGTGCTCGATAACTGCATTCGAAATAGTCCTGTCCATCATTCAGCTATCGTGCCATTACGAAATTTCAAGAAAACTCAAACACCAAGATATCGTCTCGAGTGGCAGTGCTGTCGTAATACGTCAATTTAAGTTTGTTGGAATATTTATTTTCTAGCGATTGATACGGGTTAGTAATACAATCTTGACAATCAGAGGCAATACATTATAATATATTATTTTTCGTTTGCGAAGGTATAGAATTTATTCTTGTTAGCCTTGAGTAGTGTCATTTTACCTTTATCCTCCACAACGGAAAGTGGCCAATAATCAAAATAGGAATTATGATTCTTTTAACCTTATGTTAATGTACCTTGAAACATGTTTACCACGCTATATACGCGACCTTGACATTGCCTCTTTGTGCCACACACGATACAGCAACCGGTTGGTCCAACGGTTGGATGTCAGGAAAATAGTTTCTAATCACGAATTTTAAATGCTCATTATGAAATAAATAATACCTAAACACCAAGTTTAATGTTTATATATTAACTAACGTTTTGAGAGATTCCTGTCTCGTAGAGGAATACTTACACATATTACTTTTAATAAAAAACCTGTTGCTGTTGATATTTGTTGAGTTTCTGCTAATTGTTGCTGTTGAGAACAGGTCGTTTGCGTTGGCCTGTACTTAAGGCAGTCAAAGTACGCGAAAAAAAAATGTAAATTGCAGTTACTCGGCTGCCTGGAATATTGCAAAAGCGAATACGCAATCGCGAGCGTTAATGAGCGCCCGCGCGCGCGCCATTACGCGAAATCGTACCTTTAAACATTTCGAAAGGTGCTCCGACGGGTATCTCATTTTTCAATTAATTCTTTTTCACATCTCCAAAGTCACACCCGATATAAGTTTTTATTCTTCGTACAGGTTTGTGATTGCAAATTCTATTTATTTTGCTAAATGTAGCTTGCTCGGTGTATCGCAAAAAAAATTGTGAACCATTACCATTCCCTATGCACAGGACGAGAGTGACTTCATTCTGCGATATTATGATTCATTTGTGAATTAACTTTAACGTCCTGACGTCAATTGTTTATATGGTAATTTATGTAGTCTCGCGATAATTGTTCTTAGTTACGCACTGCCATTATTTCATATTTACACATAGTTCTATTCCAGTGTAGTGTTATTACTTGTGAATCTCATTCTATTCCATAGAAACGTATCTCCATGTGCGAAGCTAACCTCTTCTTCAGTGCGATGTAAACAGGCTCGTTCGATATGGTGGGAAAAAAGGGTGAATGTTACGAAAAATCACATACACCTCAAGACATTTTCACGTAGTGTCGATCGATGACGTAAATCTTAACCTTACATCACAGACGCGACATGTGAAGAAATGCTAATTTGACACTCACAAAAATCATTAATTCACATCAGCGGAACAAAGTGCGTTTGAGATTCTTCGATTTCTAGGAAAATACGCACGATGCCGTCAACGCGCATTACGATAACTTGAAAATGTCAGAAATCAAGAGAATTGTAATATTTACATACGTTAAGGAACATTTATTGATCCATTATGTTTCTTTTTCAGGGGCAGCCGTGGCCGTTGGCGTACTTCTAATAATAATAGCTGCTGTACTGGCAGTACTGTTTCCGAAAATCGTCAACGTCCTGATTAACAAGGAGGTTGCACTGCGCGAAGGAGGCCGTGCCTTTGGTTGGTGGAAGCAACCACCGGTGTCGCCACATATGCATGTTTATATATACAATGTAACCAATGCCGACGAGTTTTTGAACAACGGGAAGAAACCGGCCCTTCAGGAATTGGGTCCTTATGTCTATATCGAACGATGGGAAAAGATTAACGTCACTTTTCACGGGAATGACACAGTCAGCTATCAACAAAGAAAGGAATTCGTATTCTCACCGGTAAGTTCGGTTAATAATCGCAATGGCACGTTAGAATCAAGGTAAATCAATGTTAGTCAAGGCATGATGTTTTGCATGCAGATAATAGTACCAGACCCAACGAGAGTGCTTTGTCTTTGGCAAACAACGGTCGATTGTCAAAAAATTAATTTGTCCATTGTTTAATGAGAGGGTTTTGTCGACAGTGACTCGGCCGTTGAGTCAGAACGTTGAAATTTCTTGTTGAAACTTTTGTTTTTTCTCGGTAGAGTATGCGAGTCAATTGATTTGTAATACTGTCTATTATGTTCATCATTACTTTCAGTGACATTACTCACATACCGTTGAATAAGTCAAAACATATAGATATAAATAGAAGCCGCTTACTGAATTATGAAATTTTTCTAAACTATGATATCCTAGATATTTTTCTGTGTGCACTTAATTTTTTTTATTATAAATCAATGCGACTTTCTTATTCTTGTTTATTAGTTAATGATAATTGTATCACGTTAAAAAATTCAAACACGTTAATTGCATTGCCCTTGGATTTATTAATCTTGATCTGTACTTACATCGATTGCATTTGCATTTTGTTTTATGCATTTGCATAGTCGCATATCTATTTCTTGTGCATATTGCATTGATTATAATTCTGACTTCCTCGACGGTATACTTTACGGACTTTGGATTCAGAATCTAATTTGACATTTCATACAGAATAGATCAGATGTCTCACAGTCTGACTTTATATGTATTGTTGAATTAGATTTACGTATGATCAATACCCAAGGGAAATTTAGATATTATGTAAGAGACTTGTCAAGTTGTTCTGCGTTAACTACGTATATTATTGACATCCGTACCCGCATCTTGAGATTACATATGCTCTTGTTTGCGATAGCTGTGCGCGAGTACTCGATTCATTATTCATGACAAAGAAAGTACTTGGATAAATATATAGGTAACGAATAATTAAAGTCTCTACGTAAGTACTCTACGTATGTACATACATAAGTCACATCCGAGGACATTTTGGTGATCCAATCGATCTGACATTTTATCACTTAGACAGCCAATCTCGTAGGAGTCTTCTCTTCTGAATCACAATTGCATGTCAGTTTCAATATGTCACTGTCACAAGCCGTTATTCACGACCAGACAAAAACGGGCACTATATTACATAATTTCGCTATATTAGAAATCAATTTCTGCGCAACCTTTCCGTTGGTTACGATCAAAAATTTGTTACGATATTAAAAGATAACGTATTTTAAAACGTTTTTAAAAACCTCGGGTGACATTTATAATAAGAAAAAATATCGAAAGTAATATAAGGTAAAGAAATTGGTTTTGAAATTCGTAATTTAAAAATTGATACAAAAAGTTCTAGAGACGCTATTGTTTTTGTGCTGTTGCAAACCCTTCATTCAATCTTGTCTTTGTGTCTAATTTAGGAATTGTCAGCGGGCTCCGAAGAGGACCTCGTTGTCGTACCAAATGTCCCGATGTTGTCGGCGACAAGTCAATCGAAACACGCAGCGCGCTTTCTTCGACTGGCAATGTCCTCCATAATGGATATCCTGAAGATCAAACCGTTTGTTGAAGTATCCGTAGGACAATTGTTGTGGGGTTATGAAGATCCTCTTTTGAAACTCGCTAAGGACGTGGTGCCTAAAGAGCAGAAGCTTCCTTACGATCAGTTTGGTCTGATGTACGGTAAAAATGGCACTGGTGCTGATCACTACACTGTTTTCACGGGTCAGAATGACATAACAAAATATGGCATGCTGGATAAATGGAATGGCAAAAAGGGTCTAGGACATTGGACTACTCCGCATTGTGATAGCGTGATGGGAAGCGACGGAAGTATCTTTCCACCTCATATCACAAAGCACACTGTACTTAAAGTATTTGACAAGGATCTCTGCAGAGCCCTTCCTCTGGTTTATAAGGTTGGTTGTACAAGATTTATTATCTAGAAAATCATTTGCTTCGAGGGAAACAACTTCACGCGCGTCTCATTATTCTATTTAGCAAGAAGTCATGACTGCCGGAGGAGTTCCTGGCTTTAGATTTGTCCCTCCTGCTGATGTCTTTGCGTCATCCGAAAGGGTTCACTCTCAACAATGTTATTGCCCTGCTGGACCACCCTGTGCACCGGAAGGTACATTCAATGCCAGCTTGTGCCAATACGATTCGCCTATCTTGTTGAGCTTCCCGCATTTCTATTTGGGTGAGTTTTTTCAGTGACATGTATAAAATTAGTATTTTTAGCTCACATCCAGTACTTCATATTTTTATCTGTGCGATGCGTTGTTTAATGTACCCTCGTATTTTTAATCTCTTTCTTTTTTACTGTCAATGATTAGGAGGCGGCATATTATGTCAGAGATTTTTATTATAACGTCGCCTTTTTGTGTGACCATTGATCCATATGGTGATATTCTCGTTCATTAACTCTTATTGCAAGAGTTAAACGACATAAGACGTGAGGAAACACCATTTGATATATGTATGTGAAGAGTTCATTCGTCTTGAAAAATTTGATGGATTGCCTTTCTTCAACTTAACTGTATTCGACAATAACATGTTCATTACACTCATGAATATTGTCATTAGCAAAGTAGCGAAAATATTTATGTAACAAGAAATGAGGATTTTGAAACATTCGTCGTCGTACCAACTAGATCGTCAGTTGAAAGCATAAATTATGTCAACACATAAACGACGACTCTACCCTTGACTTTAAAAAATGGCATGTCATACGATCGACCATTTCTCTTCCAAACGCGTGTCTGAATGGGCGTCAAAAGTAGCTAAATAAATATTTATTTTTATTAATAATGCATAATGAACTTAACATTGAGTAACCATGCGGTTAAGCTACTTACGGCCAACAACCGGAAATAGTACCGGCCTGCTTGAAACGAATAATTGAAAAGTCTTGAGGTCGCAAAGGGGTTTGTTCTAATAATAAGATTTCGTTAATTTTTCATCCACGGAATACTTCCTGTTTTACAAAACCTTAGTGGCGGATGTCGAGAGCTCTCGACAGACTTCGACCTATTTTTTTCTCATTCTATGACAATATTGCGCCTGGGATAACCGCTACTGATTCTCCCACAGATAAATTGTTTCGGCTTCCATTAAGTGTGAGAACTTTTTGTGCCATGGTTTTAAATAAACTCACTTTTACTTTCTTCGCGCGGCTACGGGTAACAGTAATTTAGCTATTGCCGAGTGAAATCGCAATTCAATGCATATGTATACATTACTTATGTATATTATATATAGATTGTATGCATCCGTGCACCTGCAATGTATATACGTATCGCGAATGAGGAAATCAGGAATGAGATATAACGCGGCGTATCTATATCTACGTATAGTCTATCGTTTGTCTAACGCGCATGAAATCGGTCGTTACGATTCCGAATTTCCTCGTAGAAATTAGATCAGACATTAGTCTCTGTCTGTAGATAACACGAACTCACGATCATTTTTATAGCTTTGACTAGTCTCTTCGATATAAAAGTAAAACATGTATATTCCGAATGTCGGAGAAAAGCAAATTCTAAAAGACTCTTTATACTTCGTTATTTTTATGTCGATTATAATTACAAGGTAATCTCCAACACTGTTACTTGAATTATTTATATGAATATTGACGTATATAATTATTTTTAATGATCACTGTAAATGAAGTAGTACGCCTATCGGAAGGCACGTTCACGATCGTCAAAACATTAATCTGTCGTTGCGTAATGAAGTGCAGCGTGATAACAGTATCGTGGGTTTCAAAACGTTACATGGGACTTACGAGTATAAAGTATTTATATTTTATTTTCATTCTCTTATCTTTTATATGTTACAGCGGACCCCGCGTTACGTGAAGCTGTAACCGGCATGTCACCGCCTAATTCTGAGGAGCACCAGCTCTTTATCGACGTACAACCTACGATGGGTACGGCCCTGAGGGCCCGTGCACGTATTCAGATAAATCTTGCTGTTAGCCACGTTCGTGATATCAAACAAGTCGAATCTTTTCCTGATATTATTTTCCCCATTATGTGGTTTGAGGATGTAAGTATATTTGTTATTTTTTTTTATTGATACAAACGGGTACACGGGATTGACGTATTAGCTGCGCGAATGGAATGAGACAATGGATGAGCAATCGTGAACATTATACATACGTTAGCGCATAACAAGTACTTTTGTAACTGCGCGAGGCAATTACAAAAGTCTATAAAGAGCCTACTATAGCTCAAGCTGGTCGACTATTATTTTGGACACGTACCTGCAGAGTGGGACGTTGATATTATAGCCAGGAAAACGTGCAGCTGAATAGGAATCAGATAATTTGTCTGAAAATTGTGGCCTTTTGATTTATTATTTATTTGATTTTTTCATATTAGAAATTATACTTTCGTTTCTTTGAAAGTCATTCGTCGACTAGGAGACGTACCTGTCATATCACTTTTTCTCTACTTATTATCTATCACACTGTATTCGAATTATATTGAAATTGTTATTACGTTTGCGAAACTTACAAGGCATGACTGTGACATACAAAATCATTACATTAATTCACACTAGGCTTAACAACCATAAAAATAAGGTCACCTGCGCTGGAGCCAGGTTAACTGAAACGCTCGAACGAACGAATTTGCATTGGTTCTTTAACGACTCAGGCGAAAGTGACAGCTGACATTGTTGGAAGGACAAGTCGATCTGTCGGTATATAGAAAATATTCTACAAGAATTTCTAACCATGTCATTAGACACTTGTGCCTCGTGCATAAAGGTTCATCATTGTGCGATTTAAAACGTGAATATTTTTACTTGCTCGTATTACATGATTCACTGCAATAGAATTTCTCGAATCGAAACCCCACCAATGTACGATTGATGAACGTTGATACGTTCAAGCCAATGGATTTACAAGGTTACGATGATATTCATTTATATTACTGCTGGTGAAAGGTTCTTTATATTGATATAAACTCGTTTCTTATTCTAAATAACAGTTGTTCGCATACCTTGCATATATTATTTACAATTGAATTGATCAGAAAAAATACAAGGTTTTTTTTTAAATTTATTCAACTTATTTTGATACAGCAATTCAATGGTTCATCTCTAATAAAAAATGTATTTTTTTCAGGGTATTGATGAACTTCCGAACGAGATGACGTCTCTTTTGAAGATGGCGGTGGACGTACCTCCAGTAGCACATGCAGCAGTATCTGCTACATTGGCAGCCCTGGGTATCATAGTTCTCGCTGGTGCACTAATGTGTTTAGCGCGAGCAGCACGACGCCAAGAGAAATTGCATCTAAGTAATCCATTGCCGGCTAACGCGAGCACCGGTAAAAACGGCATGAGTCCAGCCTTCCAAACTTCGACGGGAACAAAATAATTCGCCGCCATCGAATCCTTCGTTTCTAATTTACGAAACGGGTATCGACTACTCGATCAGCTGTCTCTCGCTCTTATCTTGTATCCTGTACATCATTCACGTGTTCCACGTGAACTTTAACCGATCGAGACGATATCACTGATCGTTCGATTTCCATCGTATTGTCGTCATGATTAGTCGTGGTGCGTCAGCCATGTGCACCAATTTATTTTGCGCGATATATTTATTCCTCGTCTTTGACTAGTTTTCTTTTTTTGTTTTAATTGAAGAAATCGTCAGGAACGGCGATATTAGCGACGGTCAAAGGACGCGGATAGTTGTTAAGTTAAAGCTTTGAATGAAAGTTACGGATAATTTGTTATCGTTGAAGTCACTATGTATTACCGGATATACTCAATGGCGAGCGATAATGAAATGATTCTAAGACGAACGTTGAAGACAAAAATCGGCAATGAGCTCTGCTTCGCATTTTATGTAGATACGATTTTGTAGATCAACGTGGACTAGCACAGTTTGTACGCGGTGCGTGCGATTTCATGGAGAAACGACTCTGCCTGTCGAATCGGCGCATTTCTGACGATCTTATGAAGACGCCATAATACGTAATTGTATCTTCAATCGGGACTTGAGCGTTTGTAGGAAGGAAAGCTCCTATTATGTTTTACATACATTGGATATTAGGTTGTTAGAAATATTGAGATCTCTAATTAAGAACGTGGACTGGAAATATTATTAGAAGCTGGTGAAATCTTTATGTTAAGAAACGAGGTCTCTTTTATTTACCAATTCAAACGCCTTTTAAATTTAATCAGGATCTATTATTAGTTTTCTTTCATTGCTCTCTCTCTCTCTTTCTCTCTCTTTCTCTCTCTCTCTCTCTCTCTCTCTCTCTTTTTCATCCCCCCCCCTTTCTCTCTTTTCTATTCCTTTCTCTTCTTTGCCTGTTTCTCCTCATTACACGTTTTTCTTTTCATTTTATAATAGTTCTGGTGAATGATTACTTGGCTTGCGGTTACGGTATTACGGCATCTGCAAGACGGTACAGAACGTTCTCTCCTGGTAGTGATTCGTTCTATACTTATTAATGCTTCAACGAAATTCATAGGAATCTATTATATTCGATAAACGTTCATTAGATGTTTGTTTTAGTTAACATATTTTGAAAATACATTTGACAAGATTTGATTAAAAATCAACGTATTCTATTAATACTTTAGTAATGACCATTATTATCATGCATTTTTTATTTGATATCGTTACGACACGCTAACTGTCCACACGTTTAACCCATACGACGCCAGATGTATACTTTTCCAAGTAATAACGTTTAATTCGTGTTCTATCGGAAAATAAGAATGTTATCTCGCTATAATTCTTGAACTTGTAAAATTATTGAATACTGACATTTTAATCGTACAAATTCCACACTAATTGTAATTATTAAATAAGTGCGCCAAGTAATCAGAAGTGAAAATTATGAAATTGCATTACCATACATATGATTCAATGTACATTCAATGGCAATGCAATCGCGACTATTCATTGATTACGTAACGAATTGAAAAGAGGCGTAATATTTCGAAGACCCACGAAATATAACCGCACGTTTACTGAAGTGGTCGTTTGCTTCGCTCAATGCACAAGTACCTTGGTTATGTTAGAAAACGATTAAAAATTAAGTGACACCTAGGGCGAGTTTAGGAATATTTGCCAAAGTGTGAAGAATTGAGGATTATCGCAAGTATTACGTACCAGATAGATTCTTTTGCATGAATTATATTGATATCACTGAGAAAATATACATTATCATATTGTATACTTGGAATGTATCATATTTACGATGGTGCTTTTCGGAAATCTGATATCTCTATAAAAAGAAAATTATATCGCTAACAAAAATGTATTTGTCGCTTATCATCAAAAACCAAAACCTGAAATTTCTTTAAAACAAGATATCAATGTAGCAGTTCATTATTCTATGTATTATACTTCAAAATTCTAAACGATTATTAATGAACGGTACAATCGCGAAAGGTTGAACATGACATCTGTTTATGTCAATGGAAAATCCTTGGTTTTGACTTGAATAATTTTTTTCTACTGGCATTGATATCAGGATATTATATTTTGGGAAATACCGGATTATCGAAATGTACGGTAAAAAAAACTTGACAAACTTTAACTTTTACAGACTTAACGAATAACATGTTGTTTTGTGGATTTTTCCTTGACTATCATTGAACGTGAATACGGATATAAAATCTGCAATAATTATACAGAATCCGTCCAAGAGATATTTTAGGTCAAGTTCTAATGGTACTCAATCTATATTAATTCTGCTGCAAAGTAAAAAAAAAAGAGCGAATACTTCTTCCTCAAGTAACTGTTTAGGTAACACGAAAAAAAAGAGTAAAAATAAGGAGAAACGAATATTTCGCGTTATTAGGACTTGACCTTCATTTATTCTCAATTTATTGTAATTATATTAAATAACTGCAAATACCCTTTTGTACATGTCTTATTATAAAGATTAGAAAGGTAGAGTACTTAGAACCATAGGTAAATCTACTTTTGTACAATAAAAATCAAAAGATGCCAAATAGTTGTATGTATGCAGGATAACACTTTATTCAGTAAATATATATGAATTCATTGCTATATATATTTAGTTGAATGAGAGTATATATGCAAATATATTCGCAATATAGATACGCATGTACGTATTTGTACGTGTAATAAAGGATGGACAATATAGAGATAAATGAATACAATATATCAGATTTAAAAAAAACGAATCATATAAGATTAGATTTATTTTTAACAAAATTTCATATAAGACATATCGAATTATCATACCATACGTCACACATCATGCCATTCGAGGGCTTTCTAAATGAAATACAAAACGCGATAACCGCTATAATAATAAGATACTAACAACACACTCCGCATATATCTGAACGCAGTAAACGAGCGTAAAGTGATTTATATAAAGCCTATATTATACATAAAAGTCTTAGTGACCTTGATTAACAAAGATTATACATATAAATGTTCTCTTTGATTATCGAGTATTAATTAATATGGCACTTGAAGTTCTCTCTCTCTCTCTCTCTCTCTCTCTCTCTCTCTCTCTCTCTCTCTCTCTCTATTTCTATCTCTCTTTTATAGACAACATAATGTCTATATATATGTATAAGGCTGTCATATCTTTATACCATAGCCATACACTATATGACAAATCTTTATTGGAAATAGTTCCACTTATAGGTAACGAATGAATTCCTAATAACGTATCATTCGCACAGGAATAAATCGTATAAGATACAGGTTTTTCAACACTTTCCCAAATACAATGCAAGTCCAATTAAATTAATATCATGCAATCATACACTAAAGCTTCGTTACACATTCCTTCAATATATTTTCACTATAGCATAGACTGCCAAGTGTAATCTCATTTTTGCGGTACGAAATTGACTAGCAAAAAATATATTTTTTTTTCATTGATATTAGGTCGCATATGTATCTATCAATTGTGGTAATAACTATAATAATTTTTTTCGAAATCGCAAAGCTCAGTCTACTGTCAATAATTCTAAAATGCAATTCATTTCTTTTCCCCACTGAGTCTCATACATTGTATAAGTAATTTATAGTGAATTTCATTCATACCAATATCACGTGACTATCAATTGAAACTAAATTTGCAAAAAAATTGCGATGGCGATGATAATAATACTTGACATTCTTAATCGAATTATTGACAGTCCCTGTGTACTGTATCGTCGCGTGTAAAATGTGCCAACGAAAACGGAAATGTTCTTATGAGGAATTTTCAAAATTTTTCATAATGATCGAACCTATTCGTTAGCGGAACAATATTCGACTATTGGTGTCATAGTCAAACGCCCATTGACGTTTCTTTATCGCACAAATGATGCGAGATTATTTTTATCCCAAAAGACGATCCTGACCGGATACGTTTCTTTGGAGTCTATGAAGAGGTTGCTGCTGTGCTTTTTTTTTTTGCAACATTATTAAAATTGTCGTTAGGGATAGGAAAAGACATATCAAACTACCCCATTGAAGGATTCCTTCAACAACCCGAGCTGTGAAATAAGCATGTTGAAGGAGGCTGAGTAATTGTTCTGGCATTTCGTCGATTCCCACTTCCATCCACATGAGGGGTAAGATAGTACCGTCTTTCAGTTTACCTATAAACGGTACACCTATTGCTTTGCGAACTTCAATATTTATTTGAAACCTAGACCAGCCCCCGATCGGTATACCCAGACGCTGTAACAGAATAATTTTAAGTTCTTCGACTGTGTACAATAAACAATGTTAAGAAATATATGTTGTTTCTACATATGTGCGTATATACATATAATGCCCAGCTACTAAGGAACAGATTCTATTTATCCAAACGGCGAAACTAATTGAACGATAATTCGGGCAAAAGATCGTTCTAATAGCAGACGATTTTGGGCACTTTCGTTAAACTGACATAACCTGATTGAAATTCTAATCTTTATAATGTGTGTGATATTTGTTGCCTAGGGATACTTTAGGGACGATTTTATTTATGAAGTTTCTATATTGAGAACAAGTGGCTGCTTTGGGGACCGTCCTCAAAGATTCTCCAGCATAATGACTGTTTTGAGGACCAACGTATGTATATGATTTGATATTACATGCTATTCGATAACTCGAGTTAAGTCCAATCATTCTTTCTTTAATAAAACGTGGACACTGGAGGTCTAAGTTCAGGCGATCCATTCATAAACTTATATACGATACATTTTTGTACCATTTTATTGACTTATTATTGATATCGTGCAATTTTTTTTTATGAAATTTATCCAGGATTTATTTTTTACACGATGTCTATGTCCGGGAACTATTTGTCGTAGCTAATAATCGTGACCCAATTGGCTGACTTATCATTTATTAAAAACGTATCCTTTTCTGAAAATGACAATATGACTTTTTTCAAAGACTCACCGGATGTAGGTCCATGTAGGTCTCGTGTAGCTCCTTACTCGGGTTTAATCCATCAATATTTGTAGAAACTGATTTTTCCGCGAGATAAAAGTGCGGAAGGGATATCAACATAGGGGCACCAAAATTACAAGAGGATACGTTGAAGATACCTACTGGTGGGCATTTTTTCGCAGAAGACGCTTCTTCGTCTTTTGAAATTTTTGTACAGAAGCAGGAATCCTTCGTGTCCGATGACGTAAACACATCCGCTGGCAGTTTGTACCTGAAAAATCGGATACGACTAGATATTTATTTTGGAGTATAGGAATCTAGATAACGAGTATTTGTATGTACATTCAAAAACATATTAACTCTAACCTAACTATCGGAGATAACGTTAGACCTTAAACATACCTCAAAGTTGGTATACCCAGAGCATTTCCGTGACCGTGAAGTTTTAAGGGAATCGCTCGGCACATATCCTTTACGTAAATCTGAAGAGTCGCGTTACGGTCCTTAACTAATTGCGGCGGAAACATACTGCCATCGGTTCCTTCAATTCTGTCGCATTTCTCGTCACCCCATATTGGACGGCTTTTCATCCCGTTGAATCTTTGATACACTCCGAGATTTCTTAAATCACCTTTGGATCCCGTGTCGATAGTGATACGATCTTTGGAAACTCCAGTTTTCTGTAAGAATTTGTAAAATAAATAAACTAATTGGTTTATTTTTTTTACATGCTGCACTTTGAAAAGTTGTTTTTTAATAGAAAATAAATATTTGCTATTTGTAGATAAATTCATGTAATATTAATTTTTTACAATATTCACTGCAAATACGCTATTTATTTGGACACATTTTTTTTGTTACGGATAAAAATCAATAAATTATAAAACTATTTAAATTAATGATAACGCAATCGGAAATTTTTATATTATTTCGGGCACAATTTTTATGAGTAACTCAGTAAGCATTCTATTACATGTAAGTTGCATTTCCTATTCATTTTCATAACATTAATGTGACAGTGATGTTACATTGACGTTATGTATAGTCGGTTCATGAGTTTCATGTGTTTTCTTTTTGACAGTTCGTTAACAAATAACAAGTGGCTTTTCGATGAAATAACGTAAACAGTGCTAAAATATAAAAATAATATATGCTTAGTGCAAAACCATGCATATGCGGATTTTGTAACAAACATTTAATGTAGTGACACGTGCATCTTGATTAGAGACCTCATTATTTTTAGTCTGTCAAAAAATACATCAAACTTGTAGACCGAGTTTGGACTTTCCTAGAGATTTCATCGACTGTGTGCGAATGCGAAATTACGCTACATACACCATACACGGGACTGCGAATTTGTATAGTTATACAAGAATCGATTCGAAATACCATAAAAGGGACGATATGATCTTTATGGAATTGGGTGTTTTAGTAATTTTCTTTATTTATAACATTTTTCTTACCGTTGCCAATAATCCAAATTTTTCAAGAGCGGAGCCATACTGCAAGGTTATAATATGTTTAACCATGTTATAGATCTCGTCGTCATAACCCCACAAAAAATCTCGAACTGTCAAGGAGTTGAATGTCTTCACCCGTAAACTGCTCAATAAGGTCGTAACGGAGAGTTGAGCCAAGTAGGACTTATCCCGTGTAAATGCTAGTGTCGTCAGTAACATAATATTTGGTATTTCGATTTTTTCATCGTCTGAACTTCCTCCTTCCCACTGAAAGCTTCTCTTTTCCTGATAACTCGCTGTACCGTTCTCGTGGAGTTTCACGTTAACCCTAGATAGGGTCTCACGGTAAACATAAGGCCCAACCTCCTCGACTCGCAACTTGCTGTCTTTACCACTTTGAAAATCCTCGACGTTCGAATAATTGAAAATTCGTATCTTATAAATGGGTCTTACGGGTGGCCGTTCCCACCATGTGAAAACGGATGTGCCATTTTTCAATTCCAGACTGGACAGAATTGCATTGTCAAAAGTATTCGTAAATGTAAATATTACAAATGCAGCCATACTCGATATAGCTATACCTGCGAGTATGTGAATGATCCAAAGTTTCAATATGCATTTTCGTTTCATTGGGGTTACGTGTTTCTCCATCTCGATTTTACACGATATATACACTTTATTGTCTATACTTCTACGAATCGGCAGACAGAGCGAAACAATATTTTTAATGCTACTTTATTGCACTTATGGATTATAATGCTCCCGCGCTAATTCACTCTCTTACTTAATGCTTTACTGCCGACTTGATCGACGCGCGCCTTTCGGTTTCCGTGATCAGAAATTCAACTGCCTGTCTGCTTTTCGACTGACTTACTTCTAGCCGATGTATCGTTCAATAAAATTCTCCCCTCTTTTTTTTCCAATCTTTCGATAACCCTCTTGCGGGAATGACCTCTCGGGCTAACACCTCCGTTACGTCGTTTGAATGTGGCTTCCACATCTTATTTGTCTTACTTTTTTTTTTAGTTCCTGATACATCACTCCTATGACATACGATAGACTGACGCCGCTCTAGACGAAACATGACTCTTTTCTGGCGAATCACTTTTCTAGACGATATAGAAAAAATCGGTCGTTGTTTTTCTGCACTTTCAAAATTCTTCTAATATCTATAATTCTCTGTACTCTGCTCCAGAATTCACTGCAGTAAATTCATTCGGTAAATTATTCATTGGCGAACGAACGCATAATGAAATTTTCAATTAATATTAATTCCTTATAAAATACACAAGGAAGATCTCGAGTCAGTCCGCGATTTTCGGTTTTGATAATTTACAAGCAACGCAATCCTAACTGAATGACACGTGGTTTTCCATAAAATAATATAAATATATGGTAAAATAGAGAAAAAATATTTAGTGTAAAACCATGCATATGCATACCATATGACTAATATTTTATACCGCAGCACAAATGAGTTCCTAGAGACTTTATTGTTTTGCAATCTGTCAAAAAAACCTCGAATTCATGGACAGACTATAAGGTATAGAAAACATTGATACATATTATAAATGGGTAATCGGTTTTCAATTTTACGAAAAAAAAAATTGATGACTGTACTATTCGACAATCGCAAGTGCCTTATATGTAAATATATAATTAAATTTGTATAATCGCAATAGTTTATCCACCTCAAAATCTTGTTTATACCACTGTTTCTTACTCCTTAATAGTAATACGTGGTACGTACGAAATTATTATTTTATTGCAATGCAGCATAGATAACTCATATTTTTGTTCAAATACGAATTGAATGTTCCAGCCGCCGTCATGGGGAAAAATATGGGGGAGTCAAATCGTATGACATACATTATCTTGAGCAGACGAGAAAACTTATGACTTACGATAACTTTCTACTATTTCGACGAAGACACAATAACGCAAATATCATCGTGACGTGTTTACAACTCATATGTTATTATTCCATGCGTTAATTCATACATTTTCACTAAGTGACCTACACTTAATTGTTTCTGTCAATGATATTTTCATTTTTATACGATTTTCACGCTATAAGGATTGTATATTTGTGCAGATAATTTTTTTACAATTTAACATTTTTTGACATAATTATATACAATAAATATAACTAATCATAGCCCTGCAATCTTGTAGGCTTTCTATGGCTCAATCGCTTAGTAATTTTACATGTCTGACTGATGCCCTTTTCACCCATTTAATACACTCTTATGAGTTTTGTCAGTTGATAATGCGACTAACGTATATTTTCCTACACACACTACTTGCATCCGGGTGAATATAATATCAACTTTTCGTTATCGACGAGATGATATCGCGTTACGCAAGAATTCTGATCGCTTGACTTCCTCTGATAAAATCCTATCCTGTTCGGATGTCAAAAAAGGATACGGTGAAATATTATTAATCTAACGTAACTTAATTCAAAGTATAAATTCGGGACACTCTGGAATAGACTGTAAGATACTGTTAACATAGGGTGGAAAGTATTCAAATCACAAAATTACTAAGCGATAGAATTTTTATTTTTATTTGATTACTAACTTATATGCCATTATCGGAAGGGGAAAATAACAGTGAAAATAAAAGGAACAGTGAAGCAAATATATTTCAACAGACACTGTATATTTCTTTTTATGTCGTGTGATTATATCAATATAGTCTTTGATTCTGACCGGCGAGACCTTGTCGATTGTAAAAAATGGGGTCATGTGTAGTTGTATACTTGGATATATGTATTTATTCATTACTATGTGTTTGGTTGCAAATGCGGAATTTTTGTATGTGTTACAATTTAACGGAACGTTCTAGTACTAATTGCATACTGATAAATTTATTGTAGACGATACATGTGTAAACAAGTGCATTTTAGACGTGCAGACAAGTAGGATATGTGTATATCTATATAGACATGATATTATAAACAATCGTGAATAATTATTTGACCGTAAAGTTCACAAGATCTAGTTCTATAATGAAATTCAGGCTACTAGAGATACCATCAAATAATTCCGAAATGTCAATGATGAGCATAAATCAACAATGGACAGAGGAACCTGAATTTTATTTCATTTTTTAAATCTTATCATAAATAAAAAAATTTGTTTGCCATAATGGATTAAAATGCTATCTGCATTTGTAATGGTCGGCTACTAATTAAATTTAATGAGGTTATAATTAAGAAAAGAATATAGAGTGTATCAGCTCAGATACACGTTTGCGGTTACAAAATCTGATGTGACAGCCATTTAATAATTTTTTGATTGCGCATCGATGGTTATTATTATGGCTCGTTTATCTTGCGTTGGCAAATAAAAAATTATCTTTGCCATTTTAAATGAGTAAAAACCAAATTCGAAAGTAATGGAGTAAGAAAAAAAGAATAGAAATGAAAAAAAATCATTCGGATAGTATATGTAATAAGAGAGATATAATATATTTGCGCTCAAAATTTGGTAGTTTTTTGACAGATTTCCGTTACAGGCAAAAGGTTTTACCTTCGTGCAGCGGCTTTATGCCAACATGCAATTCATGTCCCAGCGGAATGTTCTGAAACTATCGCAGGTGCTTGACAGCACCATTTGGTGAAGTTTTTCGGAACTAACAAAAATGCTCCCCACGAAAATGCGTGTCCCGAATTCTCGTACCACGCCTCCTAACGGAATTTTCCGGAACTGTCGTAAGAGCTTAACAGCGCCATCTGGTAAAGTTTTCTGAAACTAACAAAAATGTTTCCCACGAAAATAAATGTCTCGAATGCTTCATGTGTTGCTCAAATGTTTCATGCTTCCTATCGCCTACAAATGCTGCTACGAGGATCGCGTGAGGCTGCATCCTAGATGCTAAATCCCAGACTTCTTTTCTTTCCATATGGCCTTGTCCTTAATGGGATAGGTGCCAGCAACTGGTCCTATATAATCAGAATTCGAAGTTCACACAAGATGGTCGCGAATCAGATCTTATATACATATACAAGTTTGAGAATCCATAGAGTTTATTCATCCAATCTGAATAGTGCATATGTTTCTACCGTGTAGGGTTGAAATAGAGTTAACCAATTAAAAACGAGATTTACACGGAATAAGCTAACTTGATTGGTTAACTCTATTTCAACCCTGCATGGTGGAAACATATGCAGTGTTGAACAAAATCCGTAGAGTATTCACTTATATTTTCTTTATGAAAACCTATTGGCGAATCCTACTGGAACCAGGGCGGGAATCCCGACCTTTTCGATCGCGAATCCACGACTCGAACCATTGGGTTACGATCGATAAACATGAGAGTGATAGAGGAAGGAGTACAAGAATCAGAAAAAATTTAGAAAATGAGATGGATGAGAAAAATAATACGTACAGAAAAGGCGAAGAGTTGGAAGAGATGGTACGAAAGAAAAAAATTACGAATTTGGATGTGGAGGAGAAAGGATGAAGAATGTAAATATAGTTTTACAACAAAGCAGGACTAATAATAAAGAAAAGGAGAGCAAAATAGGCCCCTATGCGTCTATTTCCGTGAGATATACCCTCTCCATAAGGAACCTACGACCCCTCCGAACACAGACCACTTATTAGAGACACGGCACTACCGTGATATAGACAGAGATGAATAGGGAGATGCACAACACTACGGTTTTGAGCGATACCAAAAACATGGCGCTGAATCTCAGCGGCAAATCCGGAAATAGAAATTATGTGATCATCGCCTCCGTCGATAATGCAGATCCCGTTGTAGCCCAGCTGACCGCAACCACGAGCGTGTAGCTTGACGAGCAGAGGATTTCCGCTACTTACCGCTGATTTCCAAAGCAACACATACAACGAGGCAGTTCATTGAATATAGCTTAAATATTTTTTTCCCTTGCAATCCTAAGTTCGAGCGCACAGTGTAAGCTCCGTAAGTTTAATACGACAAAAGCTAGCAACTAATGCCTGCCTACACTGAAGCGTATGATGCAACCAGCATATTTAATAGATATTTTACCGATGTTGCGCAACAGAACTATTGTTGAAACCTATGAGAAATTATAAAACTCCTCGAGATCTATTGACAAAGCCTATTATTAAAACGTATTTAAGAAACTGCGGTGAAAACTTCATAACCGTGTAGCACCTCAATTTTTGGAAAATGTTTCATCATAAGGTATTTTCAATAGTTGTCGAGGAGCTCTATAGTTCCTGATAGGTTTTAGCAATAGTTCTACTTAACATTACAAAGATTGAGTTGATTCACGGATGTCAGCTCCAGCACCGCACTTTTTTAAAATCTCTCAAAAGTGATTCAACAATAGGCTTTTTGAATAGTTCGTGAGGATTTCTATAGTTCCTGATAGGTTTGAGCAATAGTTCTACTTAACATTAAAAAGATTGAGGTGGGACACGGGTGTCAGCTTCAGCAACGCATTTTTTTTAAATCTCTTAAAAATGATTCAACAATAGGCTTTTTCAATAGTTCTCGAGGAGTTGTCTATTTCCTGATAGGTTTTAACAATAGTTCTGCTACGTAACATCGGTAAAATACCTATTAAGGATACTAGTCGCACCATACGCTTCAGTACAGGTATGCATAAAGAGCTGGCTTTCAGTGTTGTTTTCAGATTGTTTCAAACAGTTCCGGGATAGTTCTCTCTAGTGCTCAATGTTAGGACCATAGTTCCGCTTGGAACTATTGTTAAATAATGCTGGAAACTAGTACCACATCGCTGCACTCCTTAACGCATGCAGTAATGAGGTGCTGGCTTTTGTCTTAGTAAATCTTATCGAGCTTATACTGTGCACTCGAATGTGAGATTACAAAAAAAAATATTTAGCAATATCTGATAAACGGTCTCGTTTTAAGGGTTGCTCTGGGAGCCAGCGGTAAGTTGTGAAGAACCTCTGCCGGCTAGGTTACACGTTCGTCATCACGTTCAGCTCGGCTACGACGGGATATGGATTATCGACAGAGGCGATGATCACAAAATCCTACTCCCGGTTTCGCCGCTCCTGTTTAGCGCCATGTTGTTGGTATCGCCTAAAACCGTAGCGTTGTGCGTCTCCCTGCTCATCTCACCTACGTGAAGTTAGCATTGTAACATTTACTTTTTGAACTTTTTTTGTTGTCAAATTATTGTTGGTTTTATGGTGGTTTTTGGTAGACTAATTAAAAAATTTGGTTGTTGCCCATTGTTTTCGAAAATAGAAAATAAAATTTAGATTGTGAAGTTAGCCCCAAAAGTCTTATTTTTCAAAAAAATTTTTATTTTGAGTATAATTCGATGCCAAATTTTTTGGTGGTCACGGATTACCTAATTACAAAATTTGGTGGTAACCGATTTCGTTGAAATTAAAAAAACAAAACCGTCTGTGAAATATGAAGTTAGCCCCAAAAGTTTTATTTATCAAAAAAATAATTTTTTTGAGTTTAAACGATGCCAAATTTTTTGGCAGTAACGGATTACCTAATTACCCAATTTTATGGTACGCGGTTTCGTTGGAATAAAAGCCGTACGTACATCTGTGGAGTGTGAAATTAGCCCCAAGAAATTTATTTAAAAGACAAAAACGGGTTTGGGTGCATTCGATGCCTGTACCGGCCAAGTTTCCTGCAGTTTCGCTGTGTTTGTCTGCAAATAGTGCATTAGAAATAGTGCAGCAAATATGAACACTCTAGTCTCTATGAAATAAAATCGAAAGAGGGATGTAAAATCTTTAAAAAGGCATACAAAGAAATAAGGTCACTTTTTACTTTTTGAGTTTATAATGATCAGAATGAGGTTAAGGAAAAGATTTGCATTAGCATAAAGTGACGCACCGATATGGCAAACTGGAGCACTGACATTGATAACTTACTACATATAAAATCTGTAATGTATACTGAAAACTAACAGACGTGGAGCTTATTTTCCGAAATGAGGAATTCACTTGAAATGGAGCACATGGCATTGCTCCAACCTATGTTATAAACGTGGCACAATAAAACCAATGAGGTACCACAATATTCAAGTTACAAAAACTACTAAAGCTACTAAATCACAATCCTTTACTAGAAAATAAGAAATTTAGATAGGCCGCAACTGGAACCACTGATTAAACTGAAAACGTAGTCACTTGGTTCATCCCTCGGACACAATACGAGAATGATGAATTGCAGCATTGTAAGAAGCACTTGATTATCCGAGTAATCAACTGTGGCAGAAAAATTTGCATTAATATCGTAATATTCCAAGATAATGTAGTGAGAATATAAATAAGAACTAGTAAACCGAGTTCCCGTTCTCCATTTTTCGTGAAATTGTAAGAAGCTGAATATTTTTTAATACATTCCATATATACAAAAGGCTTTAACCAATCGTGCGGCTTTCTTGAGATATCGAGGATGTAATTGGGGCTAAATTCACATTTCACAGGTGCGCGTACCGTTTTTTTTTATTTTCAACGAAACCGCTTACCACAAAATTTTATAATTAGGTAATTCGTGACCGCCAAAAAATTTGGCATCGATTCCATACAAAAACAAAATTTTTTATAGAAAATAAGACTTTTGGGGCTAATTTCACAATACAAATTTTATTTTCCATTTTCCAGAAAAATGGGCAACAACCAAATTTTTTAACTGGTCCACCAAAAACGACCATAAAACCAACAATTATTTGACAACAAAAAAAGTTCTAAAAGTAAATGTTACAATACTAACTTCACGTAGGTGCTCATCTCTGCTATAGATTGTTAGCACGAGCAACAACGCCATCTGATGGGTAGGTTATATGACCAGAGATGAGTAGGTTAGATTACTCATCTATGGTTTGTAGACGTTTGTCGTACGTCTCTGTACTAGAAGCCAATCAGAGTTATTGGCTTAGTTTCCACCGTGCAGAGTTTAAACAGAGTCAAGCAGCCCTATTGGTCAATTCCATTCAACCCCTATAATGATTGGTTAACTCTGTTTAAACTCAGCACGGTGGAAACTAACGCTATGTTTAGACGACGGTCTTAAACCGATTAGTTAATACTCACCAAACGACCACCATCGATTAATAAAAAGAAAAATGTAAAAGTGAAAGTGGGAGGGGGGCTATGTTAATGCTAACAATTTGTTATGGATTTTGAAAGTAAACCGAAAACCACCAAACGTTTTGAATGGGCTACCAAATACCACCAAACGACCATCAATCGATTGGTAAAAAGAAAAATGTCGAAAGTCAAAGTGGGGAGGCTAACTTTGCGGAACTACCAAAAACAGGCTCATTAGCAATCTCCCTACTCATCTCTGCATGCATGTAGTCTCCTTTGTTACAATTTAACATCACGACCAATCACAATATGCCTGTGCGTATGTACGTTGTAAAGAGGTACCACTCTATTCTAAAGTTTCAAGCTGCTTGCTGCTCGCTTCTCGCTTCCCGCTGCTTTCGGTCTGAATGTGTCCTTAGGGCTCATTCGCATAGGCATATTGTGATTGGTCGTGATGTTAAATGGTAACAAAGGAGACTACATGCATGTAACATACAACGAGGCTATACCACGGGCTATACACATTTCGTCTGATGCCGAATTGATAATTTATTTCAAACATGAACTATGACGTGAAGTAGGGTTGCCATCATCTTTTTGCTATGTCGCTGCTACGGAAAGTTGAACGTTAATCAACTTTCCCAAATCGCAGTCCAAGCATTGGAATCTGCTTAGTAATAAAGTCATGTTTTAAGAAAAATTATGTATTATTATTTTCAATGTAGTATACTTGACTGTATACAGGGTGTTCGTTATGAAACGCACTGTAGTAACATCGTTGCATTCGTTGTCAAATTCTAATGAATACTTATATTTTCATTTTTTATTTCATATATCAAAATTTCGAGATAATCAAGGTTGAAGTTGCAGTAATGCGACCAATCAGAACGCGTTTAAACGGAGCGTAGATGACGTCGCGAGCCAGCCCGCAAGGCCTGCTTACACTAGGCCAATAACACTAAGAGTATCGTTGTTGTGTCTCTGTTTATCTGCATGTAATTGAGTAAGATACAAGAGACAATACTCTTAGTGTTATTGGTCTAGTGTAAGCAGGCCTTGCGGGCTGGCTCGCGACGTCATCTACGCTCCATTTAAACGCGTTCTGATTGGTCGCATTACTGCAACTTCAACCTTGATTATCTCGAAATTTTGATATATGAAATAAAAAATGAAAATATAAGTATTCATTAGAATTTGACAACGAATGCAACGATGTTACTACAGTGCGTTTCATAACGAACACCCTGTATACGTAATTAAGGCAAATAACTTATTTCTTAATGCTTTCATACGGTTACCTAATATAAAAAGGCAGAAAATGTAGTTTCGCGGCCAAGATTCCGGTGCTCGCTTCCCGCTTCCTGCTGCTTTCGGTCTGAATGAGCCCTTAGGGCCATGTGGGCCTGATCTTAGGCATACGAAATTTTGATAGGCTTGTCCATCGCGAATGAATCAGAGGAATGTGGACAGGCGTTCCGTTTTCAACTTCGTCAAAAACCCTGGACCACGGTCGTACACACAGGTCTTGCAACTCCCTTGGAGGGGGTAGTCTTCTTTTAGAAGCATTTTTCATTTCGCTTCATTACCACAAGAGGCGTTGCGATCAACCGATCCGTTCCTATTTCTCTCTCCCACAGCCGATTGTAAAGTGAGATAGATAAGGGGTCGCTCGATTATAGCGACGCTTGTGACTAAAATTTAAAATGTGCCGTGCTTCAAAACCACGTCTACCCCCACTGCTGAAAATTGGGCGAGTTGCAAGACTTGTATGTAAGACCGTGGCCTGGATTGTCCTGGACGTTCGCATTGTGGTTAACATTTGCGAGATTGTTTCTTCATGTTTAAGTTGTAGTTAATAAAAAGTTATACATAATATCACAATTGTTTAGGATAGAAATATCATTGAATTATAAGATATACTAAACTGTTCATAGTGCAAAATGGTAAGAACTGAAGGTATAATTTTTGAGCCAGAGTAAATTGTCGGTGTTTGTTTACATCGTGCTGGGGTGGTCATACATTTTTTAATAAATTTAATGATCATTTACTATGAAAATATCATTGAATAGTTGTAATAAATTTTTCTCAAGAAATTTACGTTCCATTAATTGTTCCTAAGTTAAAAACCTTGTTTCTACATTGGATGTTAATATTAAGGTTGTTATATATTACAATTAAAGAATACTTTAAACCTTAATGTTATAATAATGTTAAAATATTTAATATAGTAACTATTATAATTTAGTGAAGTAATGTAAAATGCTTTTTTGGTTATAGTCGCATACAATACTACTTGTACAACCTGGGAATCGACCAGAGACCCGAACCTATTCAGATTATGAAAGTGTCAATGAATGTATGGAAGGTAATGTAGTTTCATTTATTACAAATATTAAATTACTATATATGCAATTAAGCATACATATGTAAAATTGTACAATGTTACTTGTAATATTAATTCGTATTACTTTTACAGGTGTATGTAAAATTTATGAAGAGCATTTAAAAAGAAGAAACCCTAATACACCAACAATCACATATGACATTAGTCAACTGTTTGATTTCGTTGATCAATTAACGGACTTATCCTGTCTTGTTTATCAAAAGTCAACAAATACTTATGCACCATACAATAAGGACTGGATTAAGGAAAAGATATATGACTTGCTACGTCGAGCTGCTGGTCACAGCGAATAATTATTTCTGCACCTAGACTCTTACTTTTCATGTATCTACAAGATAAGTTAATATTAAGCTGTTTGTAACATTAATAAATATAAGTGCAAAAATTTAAATCTGCAGTTTATTACTATGTTGATGCATGATTTTATTGTATATTAGTATTGAACAAAATATCTAAGTTACGATCTAAATTTAATCATGGTAGATTTTGAAAATAAACCAAAAGTCACTGAGCAGAATATTATAAATTTTAATTGTAAACTATCTAGGAATCTGTATTTTACTATTATGACATACATAGTATACAGGGTGTTCCACGACTTATTCCCCAACGGGCACTGGCATGAAGTATCCATTTTTTGAAAATCTCATGGAATTTAACAAATACGAATTGAGGAATTTTACTATCAAACAACATATATTCGCCCGTCTATCTATTGAATCCATTTGATCGAAACACCACTTTGCACCAATTGCACCAAACGCATCAATAATGCTACACAGGATTTATAATGGAAAGGACGAACAGTCTTATAATACGTTTTTCATCTAGAATATACAGCGTGTCCTATGACTTATTCCCCAACGGGCACTGGCATATTCTCCGTTGAAAATAGAACAAAATGCAATTTGTCCGAATGAAATCGGTTGCAGCGTTCTCGAGAAAATAAATATTAAAAATTTAGAAATATCATGTTTTATGTTCGATAACTCATAGTCTAATGACAATATTACAGTTTCTACTCGAGTGAATGTGTTCACAGACGCAAACACCCGCCACTTTGCTTTTCTACTGCTATTATTTTCTTTTGGTGATGATTGGAACTTATTTAAAATGATGATATTTTTAAATTTTTAATATTTTTTTTCTCGAGAACGCTGCAACCGATTTCATTCGGACAAATTGCATTTTGTTCTATTTTCAACGGAGAATATGCCAGTGCCCGTTGGGGAATAAGTCATAGGACACGCTGTATATTCTAGATGAAAAACGTATTATAAGACTGTTCGTCCTTTCCATTATAAATCCTGTGTAGCATTATTGATGCGTTTGGTGCAATTGGTGCAAAGTGGTGTTTCGATCAAATGGATTCAATAGATAGACGGGCGAATATATGTTGTTTGATAGTAAAATTCCTCAATTCGTATTTGTTAAATTCCATGAGATTTTCAAAAAATGGATACTTCTTTTAAAAACATATTCATTGTGCTCTTCGTTAGATTACGTATTGTACCTCTATTTTTATTACAATTTATTTATGGAAAATACATATACAATAGTTTATACAAAATAGTCTTCATATAACACGTATAATTTAAGTTTATTATTCTTCCTAACGATATTAAATAGGTTTGGATAATTACACTGCCATTTATAGTAAAATACATAACTCTAATCTCATGGTCGAGTGTAAATATCACAAAAATATTGCATTGATCAAACACATGTTTTATCTCATAACACATTTTAAATGTAAACGCGTGCTCCTGGCGTTGTTATAGTCACATGCTCGATACCCTTATTATATAACTTATTAGTTAATATTAATTGTTAATCAGCCAAAATTCCCGCCTAAAGTGTCAATACCAATAGAAGTAAATTATATGTACATCTCAGACTCGCATTTTATATGTAATCGTAGTTCTGATGACTATCCAAAAATTGAATTCATAGTTTAATATTGGAATGTTGCAATGAATTAACTGTTCTTGAATAAATAGTAACGCATGCGATATATGTGTGTGTGTGTGTATATATATTAGATTCAGGTCCAACGTATCAATCGAAGTTATTGTGTACAAAGTTCATTTGACTTTTATAGTAAAACAAATTTAAAATGGTCCTTTAGTCTTAAATGGTTTGTAAATATTTTTTATAACATACGAATGCTAAGTTTAAATGTACGTAAATAAATACGTGCAAGAAGGTAAGCGTTTAACGAGCTTACACGGTATGACTGTCGTTTGCCGTCACAAAACTCCATTAAAGAATTCAAAAAAAAAATCGATAAACATACAATCATTTTCCAGAAAACACATAAAAGATATGTATTATTCACAAGGCTATAGACAAGCGTGAGTAATAAATAAATCCCGAACCTGATGTAACAGGTACGCGTCAGTGTGATGTATACAGGATAACAGCGCAACCAATAAAAGTACACTTCCGTTTAGGCTATATGGCTATATCCCAAAGTGATCTACCAGTATCGAAGGCACATTGTGACTCCCTTACTTTAATTCATCGAATCGAGACTCAGGACTGCTAGTTAATTTTTGTGTGCATTCTTGGCTACAGTCGAGAGCTATTCCTCTAAATCATATATGAAGCCCAAATTTGATCTTTTGTACAAAACACGAATGAGTTAATAGAGAAATATTCCGATTCATAATCGTTATACGATAGTCATAATTGTTAAATGCAATAGTGAATATGTGAGAATTGCATCAGGCCCAATAGATGAAAAAATGATTTTAAAAAAGCAAAATTTGTAATAAGGATATTAACTAATGAATGAACTTCTCTCTCACATGAATAGATACAAATTTATCTTGTAGCCATGAGTTTCCATCGAAGAAGAAGATAGGCGCAGCAACGGGTAATTAATAGAATCACAGACAGAGCAATGACATCATTCCAAAACTGATCACCACTCATAGCAATCTCGCGTAATAACATTGAAGGAACCTTGTAGTGGCAATAAATTTGATTACACGGCAAAGTCGTTCGGTTGTACCCATAAATGGCTCCAACGTAACTAAGGACAAAAATATAGAAATCTCATAATAAAAAATATAAAATGAATGACACATACAACTATATACTAATTAGTTTTTAATAAAGTGCAAAAGTACCAAGATACTTACCCCTCTAGTCCATACCGTAGATAACTTATATAAGTACCCCACTTAAGGTAACTTGGTAGATCCTTTAACGTTACTCCGAATCCAGCAAACATCATTATGGGTACAGAAATTGTTGGGCCCAAGAACGTACCATTCTAGAAAACCAAAAAAAGAAAAGTTACGTCAGAAATATCAGTGAATGATATATCATACCCAGATGTTATAAAATAATGATGTACTAATTAACTGAATTAATAACGCGCAGATATTTTAAATATTTCATAAACATATTTGAGAGATTCATCGACATAACATTATTTTAATGGCTTACCACTACGTTGAATACTGCTCCTATCATCAAGCCGAAACTCTGAGCTACGAAACAGATGAGTAGACTTATAGTGAAGAACATCGAAAATCTTATAATTTCCAGAGGCTGATTTGACATTACGTATATTATCACGGAGAACAACAAACAGCAAAATATGCAAACGGGTATGTCGATCATTGTTATTGACACGTAATACGCTTTTAAGCTGTACCATCTATTGAAGTGCTCTTTTTGTAAGATGTTCATTTCGGCGGGAACTGTAACAGACAAACATATATTTATAATCAATATAGAAGAAGGTAAACAGGTACTATTCAAAATTGTTAGTATTCAACGGTATGATAGCAAGAAATGAGATCAAACGTGATACAGTAAGATGTTTAAAAGAAAAAGACATTAAATTTCATGACTGGATGGTACAAGCACTTGTGGATACTTACACGTGAGTATTGTCAGCATCATCGTACTCATCATATGGTGTATCAATATGGCGAATAGTAAATTATAATTAGCGACAACTCTGGACCCATCGCCTCCGGCATATAAAAATACACATCCCAACATCAGGCCGGTAAAGATATTCGCCATAATGCGCAAGTATGTGAGTGTCTGAAACGTCAGATTTTATTGTGAGAGGAGAAGACGTGAAGAAGATTGTGGATTTTTCATGAGAAAAAGAAAGCACGTATTCGATATTTATTTTATACGTTGAATTCATACTGCCTTCCTCATTTCATAATAATGTTAAACTGCCGTTATCGCACCTATCTCATATAAAACGTAAAAAGTTCCAAAAAACTAATTATTCCGGCAGATAGCAGAAACTAATTACTATATCTCATAATAATTACATAAAGTAATAAGAGAGATTATATGCTGGTCATCCACAAAAATATTGCTTACCGAATCTCTTTTGGTCTTGATAAAACCTCTCCCAAGCAGGATTTTGATCTGATGCATTTGCGAAGTCACTTGTAAACTTGAATTTTTATCATATTTCGGAGAATCCTTCAAAGGGTGTTTCGCTATAAATAGAAATTGATGTTTAACAACAAATCGTGAAAGTTGTTAACTGAAATAACTCAAGAGCATAAATAGAGGATTGCATCACAGTAAAAAAAGGGATAACCATTATTAAAGCAAAACATTATATTAATTTGTTGCTATTCTAATACTTATTGATCTAGATATCCTCCCAAGAATATCCTAGACTTCGTCTATACAAAATCAAAGGGGACAATATATTTACAAGCTTCAAAAAATCGAAACATTTCTGTTTATAAAACGTTAGCATAATATTCAACGAATATGATCTACAAATTTTAGACTCAACTTTGAAGCTGTTCTATGGTATTTTTTGCCCAGTTGGATTTTTTAACGCAGTAAAAACTTATAATAAAGTGATGTCAAAACTTCATAAATGTACAGCAACTCTTTCCTTGCAAAAAAATTCACGTAAATCGCTCAATTTCAGGCCTTCTAAATGTATTGCCACCCTTAAAGGAATTTTTACGTACCTTTGACAGTTTTTGGATCCAGTAATACATGATCTTTATCGAACCATTGTAAATTTCTTCCATTTTGAGTTCCCGTAACCAATACACCTATTTTATCTTCACCATACTCCCCGCAGGCTAATTCGATAACTACAAATAATTCCATAAATTTATAATAGAAAAATCATACTTGATTAAAAATATGTCTTAAAACTGTTCTTCATTGATTAATAAGTGACTGCTTGATTCCTCAAATAATACCTAACGTACCGTAATCTGCTGGATTGTGGTACATTGGACAAGGCAGCTTAACACTTTCCAAATAGGGAATTAAATGTTTAGTCGCGCCTTGATATAAACATTCTCCTTTGGATAATACATAAACCTGTATAACGACGTATATAAAAAATTATTCCACATTTCATTTACACGTAATCAATCTATATTATCCGTCACGCTTACTTGATCAAATAGTTGAAACAATGAGGCGCTGGGTTGATGAATCGTACAAACAATAGTTCTTCCTTGTCGTGCTAGGACTCTTAATAATTTCACAACCTGTGTACAGGACGAGCTATCAAGTCCACTGAAAATGTTAAAGATATAATTATCAGACGTATTCAAATTCAAGATCATATAATCAATTAACAATTAAAGAAGAAAGAAGTGCTCGATAAAAACTTGAGCAAAAATTCAATAATATATTGCAAGAAGAAACATTGCGCCCAAATGTCATCAATAAATAAATTTAAAACTTACGTGGTGGGCTCGTCAAGGAACATAACTGTCGGATTATTAACTAATTCCAAGGCAATTGATAGTCTTTTCTTTTGTCCACCACTCAGTCTTTCAGTTCTAGTCTTCATGTGCTCGTAAAGATTCAAAGTGCTGAGTATTTTTTCAATCTGCAATGAGGATTCCTTACTGTGATACGAAGAATAAATAACAAGCAATGTAAAAAATTGTAGAAAAATTATTGAAATTCACAGGAATACAATAAAAAAAAAGTGATTATCTCAGATTACGTGATACTTGCAAATGAATAATTTACTCAAAATGACCAAGTACAAATAATGATACAGATTACTTCATACTGAGAACCATTAATTATTAGAGACGAATAAACGAGAATAACATAGATGATGTAAATATGTATGTCCATCATTTTCTCTATTTTCGAGATCGTTTCTCATGCTGATGTCTGTTTTGCACAGAAATGATAATAAAACGCGCAAGAACGATGGAAGAATAATGAAAATTGGAGGAAAGTTTATCGCTACGTCATCGTGTGACAGCCACATTAAAATACTAGTTCTTTGGTAAAAATTCGAAATGAAGAAACGGGGATATTATCGTTCTAGAATATAAACGATGATTATTGATCATCCAAGGATAAATCATCTGGTGGATCAAAACATGAACTCACGCACAAACGCCACGTGCTTAACAAAAACAAGTTCCTTGTGTATTCGAGAAAAAGAATAAAAAGGTGATTAAGTGGGAAGCTGGATGAAAAACATTTGAGAAAATACAGATTACTTCACGCGTCGCATGTCCAAGAAGTAGACCTCACGTTATATAAGAAGATAAATCATGCATGAATTC